CCAGTAGCTACGGTAACTGACTTTCCCCAAATCAGACAATGGTTTTTCGGGCGTTCCAATTACTCCTTCACGACTGGACAATTCATAGCCTGTAACATATATAAGAATTGACTGAACGATCTTCATGGTTGATAACAAACACTATGATACTTTGAAATTAATTCGATTAAAACTTTAAATAATTCAAAAGAACAAAGCAAGATAGAAAACCGAGAGAACTTACTCAACTGTATAAGCAATTTGCCATAGCCTTTCCGTTGAAATGGGGGCAAAACCATAATGCATGCAAGATTGTTTGCAGAGAGCCGCTCTTTAGAAAAGTGACCAACGACATGAGCACCTACTTCATCAACCTAAATAAAGTGGCGGTAAAATGAGATACACACTGATTCGGTGACTTACATTTTGATCTATTTACATTGCTATTATTGACAATTTCACTACCATAAATATGAAAAGAATATAAAGGTTAATACTTTAACTAGAACAATCTATATCAAATAATAATTGTTAATTAATAAAGTCCCTTCAAGTGAAAGTAAAATATAAAAAATTTTATTTCTATATAGTAAAAGCTTTACTTACTTCACACAAAACATAGAATAGGAAAGTTTCAACATCAAAAAATAGCGTTTTATGATCCAAAAATAATTTCGATAGCAAACAAAGACACTGACAATAAGCCTAAATAATAAAATATACAGTAGTATCTATATCGATTTCAAAGCAAATGAAATTTTAAAAAAGAACGGAATATTTCTGCACAAAAATATCCACCTTATTTACTTTTCCATCAACTTCATAAACTGATAAATTTCCATCTCGATATATTTCATCTCCTGGAGGTTGCCGTCGATCGCAGTAATGTAACTGTAAATGTTTTGTTAATCTTTTGCAAAAAAAGCCATGTCTTAAGAATTCTTAAGTCAGATAAAATAGGAAAAGTAAAAAAGATTCTAACCATATGGCAGCAGTATTCAGCTTCGGTTCGCATATAAGCTAAGCAGTATTCACATATGTACAATATTGCTGCTTTACTATATTCATCCGGATATGGTGAGACATACCAAGCGTCTATCTCATAATCACCATAACGTATCTTGTCGATATTTTTGACTTTTGTCATCTAAATAAATTGTTATAAAATCAAAAACATGCTTTTGGTAAGGATCGGAAATAAGAATAAAGTATGATTTGTGTTAAAAAAATATGAAAAAATTTTGATTAAAATGAAAGATTCCAGTGTATTTTGGGAAGTAATATATATATTAGTACGAATCACATGATAATGGAAGAATAATAGAATATGAGTTTAGAGTGCATATGAAGATAACGAATAAAGGTATTGGATAAGAATTGATAGAACAAATTTTTAAAAATTTTTAACACAATATATCCGTTAGTAACGGCATAAACCAAACATGGCCAAGCAAAGAGCTGACCGAAAGATTCATATGATAGGATGAGATAGCTTATCAGCGAATGGGCGAAAAGAGAGCACAAATCATCAGAAATACCTCCGCATGTTCTTTTTCGAGCTTTGCCGTTGTCGCATCCATATCTTCGTAACTTTTTTGCACATGATTGAATTCTTCATGTATGCGCCGCTGACTTCGAGTTAACGTTCCACTTTCCAGCGTACTAACCAAAGATGATGGTACGGACTATTAAAAAAACTATAAATGCAGATCACTGGAAGAAGTGCGACCACCAAGCTGGGTAAGTCGAAAGTTTTTTAAACATCATAGACAATATTACGTTCCATTTCCATCTCAGATTCGATTTATTATGAAACTGTTTTCACAATAAGAACTGGATACAAATATTCAAAATGTCAATACACTGTACCAAAACAGAAGTGAAAGCGTTTGGATTTGCTCGTGCCACAATGCGATTTCTCCCAACCCATTCATCCAATCGTCTGTCCATACCATCGTAATGAACATAATACATCTTACACTGTTCTTTTCTGCAATACAACAAATCACGTAGTATATGAACTGCTAAAATCTAAGTTACCAAACCAAAAATAACTTTAATTATTTCACAGGAAAAGCCAGTCATGATTGGAAATTATTTCACAGGAAAAGCCAGTCATGATTGGAACTGAATAATTATATATTTGTACAAATTCATACAACTCTACATACTTTAAAAAAAATTCAGAAAGGAAAATCTCTGCAAGATTAGCAAAAGTTACTAATTAGTTAATTTAACTTTTAACTGTTTAAAATTAACAACTTTTTCTGTATCAATTCAATCGGTCATTTCTCAATTTGCTTCGTTATATTTCTCTTTTCATCGTCGTTAGTCATTGTTAATAACGGCATTTCACATAGTTTAACTTTTAATTATATTTTTTAATTTTTTATTAAAATTTATAATAAACTTTTTCATTCCACAAACCTCGTAGCAATATCCACCTCTACTGGAACATTTTCACCTGATACATCGTTTAATAGATTTGTGCAAACCTTACAAATATCCATATCATCCTAAAATAACCTTCGGTATACAAATATTTTTTTCAAAAAGTGCAAATTGTCCGTTTTTAAGAAACGTTTATAATTAATGCGTGTTTTCCATGAGCTCCACATTAATCACATATGTACCCTACATAACTACCCCTACACCATCTTTATTCATACGAGACAAATCGAGTAATTCACCAATGATACAGTAGCAGCAGTAGTAGCAGTGGTAATAGTAGAAGCAGAAGCGGAAAATGTGTTCGCTTGTTCACCTTCACGAATTTCCACGATCGTTGCAAGGCAGCGTTCGTCTATTTCACCATTCTTGTTTGGCGCCCGACGAAGTACAATGAATGTTTCTCCCACTTTTAGTACTGTTGATGGAGTTAACATTTCTGGTGGTGATGCTGAAGGTGGCAATGAACGGTCTTTTTTCGAACGTTTACTCATTTCGACATAAGCTGAAAAAATGTGCGGAACTTTTACATAAAAAATGTAACTTATTTCGTAAAAATTTGGAAAATGTTTGGCCATGAAAAAATTTCTGAATAATTCTGAATAAAAAAATTTCGAATCACTGAGAGCGAAGAGAAGATATACTTAAAAAAAATGTCTAATGCGCGAAAAGAGATAAAGACAAGTATAAAAAAGTATAATAAATGAAAAGGTGGAAGGAAACCATCAATGAAGTGTTTAACACGTGCTAACCAGAGTAGTAAGTCCACGCATCCAAATCGCCTCCCGACGATCTTACCCCAAGAAATTCGTTTTCGCATTTCGAACACGAGCCTAATTCAAATCATTTCGAGAATTGGACGTGGTACTTTGCTGGAATTGCCGGCATACTGCGAAGTCACACTGCTGACATTTTTTGTTACCGTTCTTGACTGTAGAGATCGAAGGAGATGACAGGAAACTTCCTTTGAGGATATTTTCCTGTTCATCTTGGATGAGAAGAATTTTGAATCATTAAGAGAAGCGAACAAGATTTGTTGTTTCATAGGTTAATCTTTTTCTGGAATGGACGAGATGAGCGATATGCTGGAAAATATCAAATCCTCCATTATACGTTGGTGGATAGCAATCAGTGTTGATAGACAACCTAAACCGAATCCGGCACGAATGGTCACAGTTCAAGAAGTAAGCTAACTTGATCATATTTTGTTCTGATTATTCTCTTTATCCTGATTTTCGATTTTCTTTCCTTTCCTGCCCTATTTTTCCGGTCGTGCTAAATATGATGCATTTGTTTGGTTAGCTGTGCGACGGGAGCGTCAATTATCAAATCTTTCATTTCAATCCACTTATCAATTAAAATATTTCAAAAATTGATGTTTATTTTCTTTGGACTTTTTGAAGCTTTTGGAATATCTTGGTTGTATACTTCGGAAGCATGCAAAAATCACATAATTTATCTCAACTTGGACTTAATGAGACCGTTTATCTTGTTTTCTTCCGATTATGAATGTTGGATGGACACAGTATGTCAAAAACTTTATAGTTACCAATGTATCCGGATGAGACACCATATTATAAAGAAGTTCAAGAGCTACCTATGTCGATAAAGAAAGAAATGGCGCTGTTGCGACAAGTTGCTTTACGACGCTTTGGAGTTTTAGGGGTAATTTCTTCTAAATGTACCGTAACATTCGCCTTGTTAAGATTTTTTGAGATATTGAAATGGATATAGTAGAATCACAAATAGATGTCTAAGGGAAGTTAAAAGTAACTTTATGTATTGTACGATATAATGTACTGTTTCCACGGCTTGCAAATGTTTCTAATCTCATTTAAAGCCTTGCTGTTCAAGACTTAAACCAAAAACACCAAAAATCTATTTTCTATCAATCTTTCTTTCATTTCTTTTGTGATACTGAAATTTCACGGCATTTGGTATCGGAAAATGAACATTTTAAAAAATTATCAACAATTACAAAGGATCGCATCTATCATTCAGGTGGAGAAGTGGAAATACAAAGATGATGTAAAGTTCGCCAAGCTCTGTTGTCCTCTTCTCTTCCTAAAAGACACAATTTGTTTTGCAGATATATTTAAGCAAAAGTTTGCAGGAATCCTATCTTAAGGTTGGAGAAAAATCGAAAAACATTTTTAATGCTGCCGAAGGTTAGTTGTTTCAATAATGCATGCTCTTTTTTCTCTCCATACCTTATATATTTGATGAACAATAACAGGAAAATTTTCTTGACGAGCATGCTTAGATAAAAAGATGCATTTAATATGCTTTCACGAATTTTTTTCTCTGACTTTGTGCGAAAGGATATAAGACAGATTTAATTTATCAGTCTTTCCATAATTGTTTTCAATTGCAGAATTTAAACAGTTTTTGCAAGAAGATTACGGAGTGTTACTGAAAGCAGCTGTTATCACCGTTGGTGGTCTTACCGGTTTTTTTCTTGGTGTGAGAAAGTTAGTTTCTGATATTATTGTGGTTCTAGAAAATCAAGTTAGGGAACTCCAGCATATTATTAACCATTAATCGTTTAAAAGTATAGCCAGTATTTCCCATTTGAAACAGTTTGTCGTCATTCCAGGTGTGTTGTTCAGTTCAACACTAGTAAGAAGGTGAATGTCATATTTTACCAAGTTGACTTTTTAGATCAGTGTTTCGCCGATTTCTGTATTCTGGGATGGGCCTATTAACAATGACTGCATTTTGTTATCCTTATGAAGCAGTTGCTGTTACTCGCATTGCAGTTGAGCACGGTAAAGTGGCTTGGGATGATTTTGTTCGATGTAAGTTGCTTTTCTATATATGCCTTTATTACTAATAACGATTTGTCATGCTATGTCAGATACTGTTTGATTTCGTTCTGGTGATAAACCAAGTGTAATATATGTTCCAATATAATGAGAAGTTCGAAATACACACAGAGATGGATAGAACATAGACAAACGCAAACCACAAGAATACTGTTTGTAATATTCCGAAAACAAAAACTGGTTAAGGATTCAAGATTAGCAGAAAATAAGTATTTAGAACTTTTTTATTCCAACAGATTTATTTTTCTAGTTTCAGAACATTTGAAATGTTTGATAAAAGGATCTTTATTAAGTTTACCGTTACAAATATATTGAAAGGAATGTTTGCGCTAAATATGCCTGTACTGTATGTAGTATTCAACTTTGTGTTTGTTTGTGTATAGTTGCTAAGGAGGACAATATGATTATGCTCGAAGTGCAAAAAAGTATTCAAGCTTTTGATTAAGCGAAATATTTATTTCGTAGTCATCGAAATATATCATCAGTAATGTTCATTATTTTCAGCACCTGAACCTCATGTATATTCTCCTCGAACGAACGAATCTTCCGCTTCCGACTCAGAATAATAAATGACAATAAGTGAACTTTTTAGGAAGATGTTAAATACTGGTATCTTTATGTGATGAATGTAAAAATTATTATTATAGGTCAGAAAGCATAAACTCCAGGTCATAGATTATAATCGAATACTTTTTTCACTACTGCTGTAGCAAGACTGCTTTCTATATTCAAATTATTATAAAATCTAGGACAAATCGTGTCGGCCGAGACACTAATGATAGTAGGCTGAGAAATTTATGGATTTTCGGTATCAGCTTTGTATGAGTTTTATTACAGACAGAATTCGCGCTATTGCTGCACGATGATTGCCTATTTAAAGTTGTCTTTCAGTTCGATCACAACTATTATGACAAAGACTGAGTAAAGCCATTAAGTCATGTTTTCCTACTTATAATCTATGTCGATGAATAAATTAATTTCTGTATGAGTTCGCTTTCTAGACTTCGTGTCTGTATACCAGCTTAGACTAATGTTTAATTCCTTTTTTAAGCAAAGCACCTTCAAGCTAAAACCAACCGAAACTTTTTGTATTTGCTTTACAATTCCTTGATTCTTATACAAGTTTCAACAGATCGTTTTTCATATGAACATACTGATAAAAAGAATAAAATAACACTTTAGAAGATACATCCAGTTCGCAGACATATGCTTTTATCTGTGCAAGCAACTTTCAATCCGAGCTTTGCGTCCATA